CTGACCTTATAGGGATTACAGTTGTAGAAAATCAATGCCCAGTAAAAAATGTTGAATTAATGTTGAATGTTGAAATATCGAAAATAATGTTGAAAAATGTTGAATTAAGAGAAATTTAGGTTTTAATTTTTGGTGAGTCTCTAAACAGTACGTTAAACTCAACGAAGTGATATTTAACAGTATTTAAGGTCTTGCAATTTGATTTAAAGCAAGAACCTTTTATAGAGTTTTAGGTTGGAAAAGAACTGACTTGATAGTAGTTCACATGACTGATGGTTTTAAATGAATTGATTCAAAATTTGAAATAAAGGGAATAGTTTTTCTTTATTATAAGTAGGCTTATCTAGCAGTAGTACCAATTTGTGCCACATCTGTGCAAATGTTCTGGGGACCAAAACTGAATATTGAGCATTCAGACATTTGCAAGCTTAGATAATTCATTGCCAAGGACTCGGGATAACAATCAGGCATTGAATTCAGCAGCTGAGAATACACTATAAGTGCTTCTAGAACAAACCCAAATGACTTTTCAAGTGTCTGCTGTCTTTAAGAAAGTAAGACATTTGACGATGGAAGTTTGTTGGAGAGGGGGCCTCTTAATTCTCATGACCAATAATGCTATGGTTAACCTCCAAGAAGTGTGTTAGGTGGGACTTGAAATACTTTAAAGATGATTTAAGTAAAAATGGATGTGTATCTGTCACAGACTACAGTGATGCTGAGAATATAGGGGTCCACTACTGTAGAGTATGCTGTGTGTTTTACACATCTGTATTTTTCTTCATCTTCCCTTTTATTTATTTCCGTTTGGGAGAATGGTGCTGTTCTGGTCTGCATGCTTCTTTGTACCTGTGACCTGTGTATGTGTGTACTTTCTCTGAGTGAGTTACATCATGATTTATAATATATTTATCTTTGTAAATATAGAGCTACCAAGTTTGAGCTGCTTGGATGCAGAGATCCTCTTTGTTGCGATTTTGCCAATAACCAGCACTATTGCCTGCATGACTGGGATACTCTGAAAATGTTGAATGTTAAAGAACTGAATTATAAAACAGAAATTTCAGTAGCATTGTAATTGCTTTCTTAACATCTTCTTTTCCCTTCTTCCTGAGTTCAGTCAGTGTGATTTTTTAAAAACATATATAATCATATATGCAGTCCTTAAACCACATTGGTTATCTCCCACCTCTTTCTTTACTCCTCAGCCCTGTCAGCTTCAACCTTTGCTAACTGCTTGTTTGTGCCAAGTATAATCTCCCATATCACCTAGCCTCAGCCTTCAGGGGCACATAAATCTACCTTGTGTGGATCTGTTTCTTCTACTATAGACCTTTAAAAGATCCTATTTTCTTCTTTTGGAATAATTATCATAGTTGTACTTTTACATTTAGTTCTCGCTATTTGATTAATAGCCTGCCCATTTCATTATAAGTTCCATGAAGACATGTGCTTTGCCCGCTTCTGTGTGCAACGTTACATCATCACACCCAATGCCTGTGATAAATGGTGAACACACATTTGTTAACCATATATAAACTCATGAACAACACATTATTAAGTGCCACGCTGTCTAGACTAGGTCTTTTCTGTCTTCACTCATAAGTATTATCCATATGACAGAAAAGACATGTGAGAAAAACCTCTTAAACTATATAATCTTGTGCTTACTTAAGCAGAAAATATTCTTTTTAATACAGGGATTATCTCCATAGACCCTGAAGAGCACTTAATACTTGTTCTACTTAAAGGTTAAATTTTATTTTTTATATGGGCTCATGCAGTTAGAAATTAATATTCTCCTAAGTCATTGAAATTTAAATTTTCTAACCTCCTAAAACACTTCATTTTTCTCAGCTTCAGGCAAGATTGAGAAATAAAATAAACTCTCTAAGATATTAATATCCTTAATAGGTACTGAACCTGAGGGCTGACACACCTATGGGTTCTTTCATGTTTCACTTTTACTGAGCACTATGCTTGAGTGTTAAAAAGTAAGTTTTTCTGTAGCATGAAAATATATTTACAATAGAACATAAGAAATAATTGTTTTATGTTAAAATAGCATATAAAACAAAATGTAACTTATATATATAAATATATATACCTATATATGTATAAATAAAACATTTATATATATATATAAAGTCATATATATATATATATATATATATATATATATAAATGACAAGATTCATTGTAATTATATGAAGGAAAGAGAATTGGAAATTTTGACATTTTTGCCTAAATACAAATTTTAAATTAAAAGAACAACTAATTATTACGTAATATCTTACTCTCTTCATAGCCTCATTCACTTTGCCCATTCTTTTTTTTTTAACCTTTCATTTATTTATTTGACAGAGAGATCACAAGTAGGCAGAGAGGCAGGCAGAGAGAGAGGGAAGCAGGCTCCCCACTGAGCAGAGAGCCCCATGCGGGGCTCAATCCCAGGACCTTGAGATCATGATCTGAGCTGAAGGCAGAGGCTTAACCCACTGAGCCACCCAGGCACCCCGATGCCCATTCATTTCTTGTATCCTCTTGCACTCATTTGGATATTTGCTCCCCCTCAATTCTGCTTCCAATGTGGGTGACAGATTTCTCTTATTCCTGCCTCTACCTGTCCACCCATCATTCTGATACTTACCTTTCCATTATCTCTATCTGACTTCTGAGGAAATATTACCTTGCCTCTCTGTTGCAATTACTTTTATTTTGGGCGAAACTATATAAAAAGTTTCAGAAGCTATATTTATACATAAATCTAAAATATTATTTATCCATATGTCTTAAAATTTACTGGCGTGTCTTTCTCTGAACTAGCAAATTGTCACTTGAGCTCTCAGCTTGTATCTCAATTACCTTATACAGAGCACTAGGCTCATAGTGTTCTAGAAAGTGCAAAGGCTTTGGGGCAGTTGGAAGTAGAGGATACTTCATTCCCACCTATTGCATTTTACTCATTGTAAAATGAGTAGGATGTTTCACAGGCCTAAGACCACTGTCAAACAAGAACACACATACCCCAGAAAACTACCCTGAGGGCCAAATGATAAGTCCTATTTGCAGACCTTCATTTTTCACCTTTACTGCCTTTTCTGTCTCTCATTCAGTCTATAGTGCACGTGCCTTGCCATATGTTTGTTATACCTTCTACTTTCTTACCTCATTTCATTGTTTTTCTTGGGTCAGAGGAAAAATTTTGAGTTCACATTCTTGGTTGGTCAGAGGATAACAATGAAAATTTCTCTTTGGCACACAAACAAGTACTTGTCACTCTAATACCTCTCCTTATATTATTCCCCAGTCTCTCTAATTTACCCTGGAAACATTTGTCTATAATTATCTTATGTGGCTAGGCTCCATTAGTTTTGTTTTTTTTTTTTTTAAAGATTTTGTTTATTTATTTGTCAGAGAGAGAGAGGAGAGCAAGCACAGGCAGACAGAGTGGCAGGCAGAGGCAGAGGGAGAAACAGGCTCCCCGCCGAGCAAGGAGCCCGATGCGGGACTTGATCCCAGGACGCTGGGATCATGACCTGAGCCGAAGGCAGCTGCTTAACCAACTGAGCCACCCAGGTGTCCCAAGACTCCATTAGTTTTAATTACTTGCCCAAGATCACACAGGCTGATATGTGAAAAGGCTGAACTTTTATCCAAGGCCATTTTGACAACAAAGCTATATATTTGTTTTCAAGGCCCAATGCCAGAACATTGCAACAAAAAAAGGCCTTATTTAAGTAAGTGCTTAGACTTCCTTTTTTTTTTTTTTTTTAAAGCAGATTGAGGTAGGGGATGGAATATGTCTCATCTAGTCTTTGTTTTTAATTATTCTGAATTACACTGATGTCCTTCTTGGCTTTATTTATTTTTTTTTTATTTCCAAATGTATTATTAATGCCAAACTAAAACCTTATAAGACATTTTAAATATAAATATTTTAAGTGTCTTTTAAAAAGCAAGCTGAGAGTAATGGTCCCTCTGGCCTTTTAGATCATCTAAAAAAAAATATTTGGCTGATATAATAAAAAGTTAATTAACAATAATTTTTTATGTATTTTGAACTCCAAAATTCAAAAATACTTTTTTTTAACTTAATTCAAGTGCCCATGAAATCTGATATGTTCCCAATTCAGCTAGCATTCAGTCGCCCACAGCCTGAGTGAAACAGAATCTTTCTTAGTAGTGTATACTTACTAAAAATACAAGAATGTATTCAGATATTTTAAACCCAAAAAGCCAGTGTATCTGGTGTCCTTTGCTTTCTAGTGCAACCATATGCTTTACTATTTATTAATTTTGATAAATCTCTTTGACTAAGCTGAAAATCTCACAACTTCTCTCCCCAGGTAGAAAGTGTAAAGACCAAGCTCGTTCAGTATTTCATCCTGAAAGCGAGACTCAATTTACTATAGAAAAACTTTTGATCTTCATATATGGCCTGACATACTGGGTTTTATTTAACAATGGAATTTCTTAGATAAGTACCAGGCATTTCTTCAAAGAACCTGACCAAATGCTAAAATCCATTTCCTTCCAAAATTGCAATTGTTAAATTAGACCTAAAACATTTATGAATGTCACTTTGCCTTTCCAGCAATTAAGGAGTTCAAAAACAAAAACCAAACCAAACCAAAACAAACAAACAAACAAACAAAAAAAACTTTGTGTTGCCCAGCTTTGAAATTACTGTATTTATCCTGAAATGGCCCTTCAATTTGCTCTAGAAAATACTTTGGAGGTTGCCTTACAGAGGGAGACCTCAGTTCTGAACAGGTGTGGAAAAGGGTTTCTTGATGTATAAAAGTGTCCTATTTTAAAGGCGTTTTAGCAATTTTAGCACATCTACCGCTGTTGAATTCCCATGCAGGGAGGTGGTCAGTTCATTTCCCTTTAAAGAGCAGGAAATCTGTAAGTCAAGGTCATAGACCCAATTTCGCCGTGGTGAGGGGCAGCTGGTGATTTACTGAAACTTTCCCTTTCCTGTCTCCTTGGCTTAGTGTTGATCCTCCTGATCGTCACCATGAGAAGACGGAAAAAAGAGCCTCTCATTTTTGACGAGGAGAGAGACATCAGAGAAAATATCGTGAGGTACGACGACGAAGGGGGCGGAGAGGAAGACACGGAAGCGTTCGACATGGCCGCCCTGAGAAACCTGAACGTCATCAGAGACACCAAGACTCGGAGGGACGTGACTCCAGAAATTCAGTTCTTGAGCCGACCCACTTTTAAAAGCATCCCAGACAATGTCATTTTTCGAGAATTTATCTGGGAAAGACTGAAAGAAGCTGATGTGGATCCCTGCGCTCCCCCGTACGATTCCTTGCAGACGTACGCATTTGAAGGAAATGGCTCCGTGGCCGAATCCCTCAGCTCCTTGGATTCCATCAGCTCAAACTCTGACCAGAATTATGACTACCTGAGTGACTGGGGGCCTCGCTTTAAACGACTTGCAGATATGTATGGAACCGGCCAGGAGAGTTTGTACTCATAGCCCCGGGACCTTAATTTGAAATGTACTGAAGAAAAAGTAAAAAGCAAAACAAACAAACAAACCAACAAAAAAACCAACAAAAACAAAAAATAACAAAAAACCCCACTCCGTACAGAAAACAAGAACTCGGCTTACTAGAGAAAACTGTTGTAAATATCTCTCCATTTTTAACTGTTTAGGTTTTTGCCTTGGTGAAGCATAACTTCATTAGACTTATCCAAGGGACTGCACTGACCACAGACTCTGAGCATTTGAAGGCTTTTTGATAAAATGAAATGCTCAGTGGTTTGTGAATAGATAGCAACTCTCAGATACCTGCAAAGCACCTAACCTCGATGAGTAAGTAGTGGCCTTTGTTGTCCGTGAACCAAGCGTACCCTGTACCTACCTTCACGGCACTGCCCATGAGAAGAACACAACTCGATGAGCCATTGAAAAGTCCTGGAACTTCTTGCATATCAAAACTTGGGACAAATTTCATTTACAGTGATGCTTTTAGCTTGCTAGATTATAGAATCCAGCAGCATTTTATTGCTGTTGGGTAGCAAATATATTTCATTTAGCAATATATAAATTCTTAGAAAATCCTCCCCAAACCTCCAACACAAGCCAATAAAATTTGGTGTAAGGCAACATAAACTGTTGTTTTGCAAATAAATTATGAAGTGTTCCAAATAAGAAAAAGGTAAATCATTCTTTAAGTCTGCCGTCATTTTGAGATGCTTGTGTAGGTATGAAAAAAGTTGCTGTCTATTCATTGATGTTGATTATCTCTTCTGATTTATACAGGAGACTATCTTTCCTTTCTTTTTTATTTGACACATGGTGTTCTATTTATTTTGGAGCTCCAATCTCCACTGAATTCAGGTCCATCTGACTGCCTCATAGCATTAAACTCGTCAGAACATGCTGATTTTTCTCCAGTCTGAGCTACATGAAGGAAAGGAAGCATGGAAATGGAGAAAAAAATAGTAGAGTGGTTGAGCTTTGCTGCTGTTCACATCTCAGAGAGGAGCACAGCTACGAGGATGTATAAGTCGTTCATCTGAGCCATTAGAATGTACCAAACAGTGGAATAAAATATTTGTATTTTAGAAAGGTTTCAGAATTGATTTTTTTTTTTGATGCAAGATTTTTCAAGGTCATAAGTTCTATATGCTCCAAAGACTTGAGAATTTGTTTTCCCCAGCTTCCTTTACTGTAAACAGATTGAGTAAAAGACCTTTTTTTTTTCACTATAGCTTAAACAATGTAATGCTATAAATTTCAAAAATCCATCTTTAAATTCTGATGCTAATTTGTTCCTCAAGAATTAACCAAGCAATGTAGGATTTCTGTACTGGTTTAGATGTGCCAAAATGAGGAGAGCAATTTCCAGTGATCACGTGCTTAAATTTGAGACAGGCTTCTTAGGATAAGAACTTTATGACTATAATATTTCCACCTATCATTTTTTTCCTGGAATAGCACTAGTTTAGTGTACATATATTTCAATAAGAATGGATTTTTTTCTTTCGTTTCTCTTTTTAAAAATAATTTATCAGGTTCCTAATAAATCTACAGGTAGTTAGACACTGTATAGGAAACTACATTTTAAAAGTGCTTCTTTCTGAAAGACAAACACTGGAATCAGAATATCAATATTTTGATTACATGAGGAGAAACTAGGATTCTGTAAACCTTCAGATCATCTTTAGAAATAAAGTACGCGAACGTGGCCTTCAGCTTCATCAAACTAAATGATTCAATAAATCTGATTATCTACAGACAGTCCTTTCATTTGAATAAAGTTTTGTAAACATTGTTTCAGGACTAGATAGATATGCTTCTTGATGAATTAATATACACATATATGAAAAACTCCTAACAGTAAAAGATTCTGTTCATGACTTTTAGTCACATATGTAAGTTTTTCAAATAAAAAAAAAAAATGCATAGTACACTTACCCAGTTCAATAAAAACAGAGTGTGGTGCAGGAATTATATAGGTGTTAAATCAGCAAGGTGCTGAGAAAACAGTTTTGTAATAATCCCCTTGTCTGCAGGAAGATAAAATACTTTAGTACATTTGGATTATGATGTCAAAACTGCTGATAGTTGCACATATCACTAAATGGAGGTTTGAATGTATTATAGAAAAGAAACATCACATCATTCACCCATTCACCTTGCTTTTTCTTGTTTTCAAGTATATATATATATATTTTCTTTTTTTTTTTTTCTTTCACATTTGCCGGTCATAGATTGGGAAAAGAAAAGCTCAAATTTAAATAAAGATTTGAAATTCTTGCATATACCCATTGCTCTTTTATGTGTGAACAATCACATCAATACAGAATAAACTTGCTTCAGTGGTATTTTTTAAAAATGCTTGAGATGGCTGAAAGAATGTCCCTACTTTACATGATATTTATATGAATCACTCTAGCTAAACCTACTGGTAATAGAAGTGAATTGGTTATTTTTGTTTTCCATTTTCTTCTAAAATCTAATGCTATGTATGATTATCTCCACAGTATGTGAGAGGCACTGGAATAGCTGATTGATAAAATCAATGTTAAACCTAGTTAGGACATTCTCTAAAAACATTTATATAAAAACTTATATCTAGTTACTAAAATTCAGTGGTATCCTGGAACCAGCTAGAACCAGCTCCTAAGAACCAATGACCTACATCTCTTCTCAACCCTCCTTCTAGAGAGATCATTTTGGTGGATTGAAGATAGCCGTGGGGTAATATTGAGACCACCACGGAAAGCAGCAAACACTCCCTGTTTTTCCTGGAGAGCCAGTTTTTAAATATTTACCAACATTTCACTGCTTGAATTGCTTTATAAAGGAAACCTCATGACAGTAAATATAGTATGACTGAATATCAAATAATGACATGAAAGAAATGTATGCTCTATCCTACTACTAAACATAGATGCATGTGATACTCCCTATTATGAAGTCTTTGGAGCTACAAATACAAAGGCTCCACTTCATTGTGGGAAGTAATGGCTTAATAATTTCCAGGGAAGACAGTAGTATGGGAAGCCAATAAATTTAAATATTTTCCATTTGTCCATCTGGGGCCACCATTAGAAACAAGGTGCACAAAGTAATGCATGTTTTTGCCACTTTAATTTCTTAAAAATGTTTGCATTTTACTTGTTACTGTCCATGTCAAGAAGTATGCCCAAGCCCCAATTCTGAATTATCACTGCATAATTTTAAGTCAGCATAAAGACTATGCAAACTAAATCTTACCAAGAACGTGGGCATTTGCAGATCAAGCCTAAATTATCATTCTAGATTCACAGATCAATTTCTATGTTAAAGCAATACTCTAAGGTCAGTGGCAGACCAAAATTAAGGAGACAACAAGAAAAGATCACCACTGTGAAAGCAATGAGTAGATCTTTCTGTAAGCCATTAGATGAAGCTGGTAAACTTCTTCCTTTGACTGGAAGCTCACACCGGAGGCTGACCACAGTGGGATTAGGTAAATGAAGGACACAGACAGGAAGCAATCATATTTAGGTAATGATAGCTGCCTTTTCACTCTGCCCTCTGAGGATGTTCTAAATTAAAATTTTAGCTTCATGCACAATTACGTTTACCACACTAACGATGAGCAGGCACTGGCAATTATTCTCATATAAAAAGTGTAGTTCTATAAAATGTGAGTGATATTTGTGCCCAAAGAACTTCCATGTAAACAGACTTGTTACATCCAAATTTAAAATCTGAGGGAGCTTAAAGTAAGTTTAAATATATTGCAAGAGGCAAAAGCAATCTAAATATTTTAAAGTTTTTAAGCACTAGCTGTAAATACTAATCTTCAAACTTTCAATTTTGACATCGATTGACTCACAGACTGTTTTAATTAACCTAATTGTTTTTAAATCACTATTCAAAGGTTTATTTACAGGTGATCTAATTAAAGTTGATAATAAGAAAGCTCCAACTTTTAACTCTTTCTGTTCAGGGATGGCTGGAGGCACATACAGTATATACGACAATAGAGAAGGAAATTCATTTTCGGTTATTATACAGTTTTTAAAAAAATTATCAATAATGTATATTTGTATGTACGGTGGTCTATGAAAGTCTGGTAGGCAAAACTAATGCGGAAATGTTAGCTAATCATCAACATAACCAAAAGAGCAAGAAAGGAGTAATAGCATTTACATTTTGAGTGTAATTGAAATTGTTCAGAGGAGTGGGATAAGCCCTCAAGAAAAATGGGAGTTATTTGACTCTGATCTGGCAACCATTGTAAAGTACAATTCTAGGGGCAATGTTTCAAGCAAGAACAAGACAGCCAGTATGTATGGCATTCTGGAACTTTTTCATCGTTATGTCAGCTTGTACAGGCTCAGAGTTAAACTGCAAAAGGTTATGTGCCTGTGTGTGTATGTGTGTGTGTGTGATGGGAAGCCATTGGAAAATATGTCCGAAGCAACATTAAAAAAAAAAAAAAAACTGATCCAAAATTATCTTATGAATGCCAATATATTATTGTCCTTTGGCAAATTATGGATAAGCCATAAGACCAGACTCTCTGATATTGACTGAAGGGAGAAATGTTTTATTTGCTTTAAAATTTTAATTTAAGGAGAAGAATTTTGGTACTAAGAGGAAAGCATTTAGCTGAACTATCTAAATAATTGTGTCGTTTTATTTTTATTGTGTAGATGTGATCTCACTGTTCTCACAGACTATGGAGTTTGGATTATTTATTATGGAATGTCACTGAGCTTTGGCCTTGACTCTCAGTGTGGTTACTATGAAGTAGCCCTGCTCTGTGGTTATAAAATCTGGGTCATAAGCCAGTTCTAGCACATTTTTGCTATGCCCTGGATTCCATTCTAATTCTCTGAACCTTTATATCTTCATGATTAAAATTGAGTTAATTACTAACCTGTTGTAGAGGCTTGTGAGCTGATTAAGTGAAAGTGCTGTGTAAACTGTAAAATGCTGTAAAAAATGTAAGGCTTTATTATGGAAAATTATGGAAATTATATAATAAGGTTGATTATATGTATTGTTATATG